ACGCGGCGGCGCCGCGGATTTCGCCGCCGCGCCGGAGCTGCTGTTGCGCACGCGGAGTGCGGAGGAGGGGTTCACCCCCCTCCCTCACCACCCTTCCCTTCACGTGAACGTCAACACCCGGCTGTGGGGGGCGAATATCGTGCTGTGGTGGAAAGTACCGCCCCCGACGGCGAACCAGGGGAAGGCGGGGAAGCCCACCGCGACGGAAGGGGTTTCGTTCGGTGCGGAGGCCGCAATGTGCGGCGCGGGCTGCCCTCTTCCCGGCGTCGTCGAGGAGGCGTTGCGGCTCGCGATGGGGTGGGGGGTAGAGGATTTTAGCGTCGCCGTGTTGGATTCCTCCGCCCTCCTTCCGGGGTATCATCGCTGCCTACGGGAGACCTTCACGCCTCGCTCGGCCGCGGAGGGAAGGGAGGGGGAGCGGATGGCGCCCTTTTTGCTTTCGATGGATGTGCTGCGGCAGCTTCAATGGGGGCTCGCGAAGGGGCTGCTCGAGGCCGCCACCACGCAACTCCCACGAGGCTCCACCCTTCGCGAGGGGGGCGATGCCCAACGAATCCCCCGTGATCCCCCACGGCGGGTGCGATTTGCTCTCGAGGCGGGGGCCGAGGAAGGCGCGCCCGCCGATCCGGGCCGGAGCGATCCCACCCCAACGAAGAAGGGGGATCCTTGGAAGGGCTTCATTCTCGGCGAACCGGCCTCCACTCCCCATTCCACCTCAGGCTTCCAATTGGCGAAGAATGGGATGGTCCACATGCCCTGGACAATCCGGGTGTTTTTGCCGATCCCGGAGGAATCCTTCCTGGATGAGGTTGGGATGGACGGGGATTTCTCAAAAAGGGATCCTACGGAATCGTCTGCGCAGTCGACGACGCGCCCGCAGCGTCGGCCTCGCGGGGATGCGCCTGTGGGCCACTTGAGATCGGAAAGCGGAGGGGGCGGGAACAACCCACCTGCCGCCGCATCGATGCTTCCCTTTATCTTTTCCCTCCACAGCCCTAGAGTGGTTGAGGAGCCTAGTGGCGCGCCGTCGGAGCGCTCTCAAAGTGTCCACGCCGTCAGGCCGACATTGAAAGAGATTTTGAATGCCTATTTTGGGAACTCTGTCCAGTTAAACTGAACAGGTGAATTTCAGCTACAACACACATAGCCATACAGATCGATATATGTATATATATATATATATATAAATAAGTACATATATACATATATACATATATACATATATACATATATACATATATATATATATATATGCTGTGGTACGCTTTCTCACCTAATGTTTATTTGTCTCATTTAGAGTGCTTTTTTTAGCACTAATTGCTGTTTTTCATACATGACAGTGGTTCCACAATTTTGCTATGATTCAAAACTGAACTCCAATTTTTGCACGAAAAAAGCGACGAGACATTGAGCTCAATAGATGCAAGTTGATGTATATGCTCTCTGTGACGTATTTCGCGTTTTCTGATGTACATATAGTAAGGTTAAGTGCATTTTGCATGTGTTTTTAACTCGTAAGATAGATCATTATTACTTTATACTACTAATATCAGTTCTATTTTTGTAATGCTCCAAAGCAAAGCTTTTTTATGGCAGGACGAGAATCCCAAGGCATTCAATGAAGCCTCATGGAATAACAAGCTCGATTCGACTCTCAATAAGTTATCTGAGATTTACAAAGAAGTTGTGGAGCCAGTCGAAAATCAATACATGTATAAGAGCTTTAAACGTGCATCTTTTGAAGAATCGATAAAGCAGAAGTTACCCTTCGTAACCTTTCTGGGCCCTTTTTCAAGCGGAAAGTCCACAGTCATCAACTACTTGATTCAGCACGACGTGCTCGTGACAGGGCCGCAGCCGGTGACGGATAAGTTTACCATCATTTCGTACGGTGAAAAGATGGACCAAATCCCTGGAAAAGTTCTCATAGATAATCCAAACAGTCCCTTTCATGGTCTCTCGCAGTTTGGCGAGTCGTTTTCGGACCACTTTACAAGCGTTCTCGCGCCTCATCCCCTTTTGCGCTCCTTTACATTAATCGACACGCCTGGTGTGCTGGAGGCCTCCGTGCAGAACCACTCGCGGCAGTACAGTTATGCCGATGTGGCGCGTTGGTTTGTTGAGAAGAGTGATTTGGTCATTCTGCTCTTCGATCCGACCAAGCTTGAGACCGGTATGGAGTTACAGTCAATCTTCAATACATCTTTGAAAGGGTTCCACGGCAAGGTAAGAATCATTCTGAATAAGGCAGATTCCGTCCAGCCACGGGAGCTAATTCGGGTTTACGGGGCCTTGTTTTGGAACCTTTCCAATCTGATTCATTCGACGGAGCCACCACGCGTGTATTTGTGCAGCTTGTGGAATCAACCATACGCCCCAGACACCGATCATGAACTTTTTGAATCCGAAAAAGTTGATTTCCTTTACGAGCTATTCGAAAAAGTCCCCATGCAGACGCTAAACACTCGCGTCACGTCCACTATTAGGCGTGCACGCAGCGTTTTGGTCTTTTCCATGATATGTGCATCCTATCGATCGCGCATCCCATTACTTATTGGGAAAAGCAAAGCTAAGAAATCCTTTTTTAATAACTATTCTGACTTGGTAAAAAACATGGCGTTGGATCTTTCCTTAGCTGTTTCCGACTTCCCTACTCGCGAGGAGATAAGTGAATTTCTGGAGAGGGTCGATTCGAGCAGCTTTCCCAATTTTGAAAAACTTGAAAAGAGCAAGTCAATTTCTCGACTGAAGAAGGTCATCAATACCGATCTTCCGAATTTATTCCAAACTATAAAGCAACACTCGATGTGCGATCCGCGAGATCGCAGGAAAAACCTCGTAAACTTACTGGCTTACAATACCGGGGCAGCGACTAAGGAGGAAACACCTGTCAAAGCCATTCCTATCGGTGGTGGCCGCAGAAATCCTCTTGTAGTCATCATGGAAGAGGAAGATTCTAGGCCCCAAACCATAGAACCAGTATAATTTGTTAAGCGAATCTTTATTACAAATTTCCTCCACAAGCATCCATGAGAAGCCCAAAGGGGGATGTAAAAGAAATTGAAGCAAAACCATATAGTATATGTTAACTATTGCTTGAGTAGAGAATGCTTATTCCAAGTAATAAAGAATTTTTTTTGGGTTTTATTTCCATGATGTTTTTTAACAAAGTGTGAGCAGTAAGAAAGGGTTAAAAAATTATAAATGGAGTATATTTTTCTTAATTCGCTAGGGAGTGCATCGTTTTATATTTGTGTTGCGACAACTTTTTTTATTTTTTCCCCACAATCCTTGCTGCTTTTTCATTCCCCACGCAAGTTTTGTTTACTGTATAATTTCATTTATGCTACAGTTTCGTGCGTGAATGCCGCAACAGGCTCCAGCGGGTACGATAAAATGAAAATGTACGATGGGGAAATGAATCAAACCGTGAAAATGGATTGGTGCATTGTGTGATTTCTTATTAGCAGAATTATTTTTAATAGAAACAAAAATAAAGGGGATTATCAATCCTTAACCGTTATGTAAGTCTTGTAGGAAAAATGTGAACAAGACTGATAGATTGTCAAAAAATATTGAGTTTCACTTAATACTCAAGTAGTGTTTTTCGATTTTCTTCCTGCAATTTAAAAGTGAATGAGAAAAATTAACATTTTAATGTTTATTTAGTATCAATGATTTGCTAGTTAATAATTTGTCTTTTTTATACTTCTTGAATAGTGCGTACCTAAAAAATTAAATCAGTTAATCTATTTTTTACTCTCGTCTTCAATGAAGGTTAATTTCCCTGCGGCGGTGCTATCTACTATTATTTCATGTTGTAATGGCGAGTGTCCTTAGAATCAAAATCTTATCCAATCCAATTCATGGGAAAACAGACACCATTAGCCAAATAGTTTGTGTATATTTAATATCTAGTCGCTTCACACATTTTATTCTATAAGAAGGACCTAAGAAACGGGACAGGAGGAGGGGAGAAGGGACCGTATTGATCATGGATCCCACTATTGGCTACACTAATGGAAAGAGACCACATGCGGATACACCTGGGTCTCTATCTATCCTCAAAATTGCGCGTCTTTCAGAACCTCTGGGAGGTGAAAATATCATCACTGCCCCTGTTCAGTCTTCTTCTTCAGCGCCAACTTTATCTGAAACCATGGACGTTACCAATCCCTTTACTGGACGGCCTTATAGCCCGTCCTACTTCAATATTCTAGAAGCTCGACACAAACTCCCGGTGTACGAGAAAAAGGAGTTAATCCAGAAAACCGTTCTTGCCAATCCGCTCACGCTCCTTGTTGGGGAGACGGGTAGTGGAAAAACCACCCAGGTGCCACACTTTTTGGCCGAGATGCAAGTTAGCTTCCCAGGGCTGATTGCGTGCACGCAGCCGCGACGGATTGCGGCCATCTCCGTCGCCACCCGCGTCGCCGAGGAGATGGATGTCGTTCTAGGTGAAGAAGTGGGCTTTCACGTTCGCTTTCAATCGAAGAAATCGGAGAAGACGCGGGTTCTTTACCTGACGGATGGCATGTTGCTCCGTGAGACCGCCTCGGATCGGGATCTTTCCAAATACAACGTCGTCGTCGTGGATGAGGCGCACGAGCGCACGATCGACACCGATGTGCTGCTCGGGCTCCTTAAACAGCTCCTCACCCGACGCCCCGCACTCCGCGTGGTGGTGATGTCCGCGACGTTAGATGTCGGGAAGATCCAATCCTTCTTCCCCCAGGCCCCTTTGTTGCAGGTGAGTGGACGGATGTTCGAGGTGGAGGTGGTGTACGCACCGCAGCTCGTGAAGGATTACGTCGAGGAGGCGGTGCGTCGCGTCTGCGAGATTCACCGCGGCGAGCCCGCGGGCGACGTGCTTTGTTTTTTAACCGGCGAGGCGGAGATCGAACGGGCGGTGGCGGCCACCCAGGCGGCGCTCACGCGGACCTCCGCGGGGTTTGAGCCGGCATCGGAAGGGGCATCGCCCTCTTCGAGGACGGCCGCGTCGAGGCCGTCGGAGGCGATGGTGCTCCCCCTCTTCGGCTCGCTTTCTCTGGCGGAGCAGCAGAAGGTGTTTCGAGGAACCCCGCCAGGGGTGCGGAAGATTGTCTTCGCCACGAATATCGCGGAGACCTCCGTAACCATCGACGGGGTGGTTTATGTGGTCGACTGTGGGTATCAAAAGCAGAGTCTTTACAACTCCCAGGCGCGTGTGGATTATTTGGTGCCCGCCGTGATTAGCCAGGCGTCGGCGGAGCAGCGGAAGGGTCGGGCCGGGCGGACGCGTCCGGGGAAATGCTATCGCCTGTACACGACCTCGGACTTTCGCCAGTTCCCCCCGCAGACCTACCCGGAGATCCTACGGACGAATCTCGTCAACCCCGTGCTTCTACTCCTCACCTTGGGGGTGGGGAACCCGTGCGAGTTCCCTTTCATCGACCCCCCGTCCCAGGATGCCCTGGAGGATGCTTTTTATCAGCTTCTTTTCTTCGGCGCCGTGGACGACGCGCTGGGGTTGACGGAGTTCGGGGCCCGGATGGCGGCCTTCCCTGTGGATGCGTGGTTGTCGAGGATGCTCCTCAAAGCGGAGGCTCACCGCTGCGCCGCGGACGTCGCCGTCGTCGCGGCGATGCTCGAGGCGGGAAACGTCTTCGTTCGCCCGCCGTCGCGCGCCGCCGAGGCGGATCAGGCGCGCGCCCAGTTCGCCCACCCCGATGGCGACCACCTGACGTTGTTTTTTATTTTTCACGGCTACTTTCGCCATCAATCCGAGGGCGCGAAGTATTGCTGGAGTCATTTCCTCCGCCATCAGACGCTCCAGCAGGCGGTGCAGATCTACCACCAACTCCGACAGTTAATGACGCAGCACCACATTTCGGTCTGCTCCACCTACGAAGAGAAAACGAATACCGTCGACACCGTGGCGCTTCGCCGCGCGATTTTGGAAGGTTTCTTCACGCAAGTAGCGTACCTGCCCCCTAAAGGAAACCATTATCTCACGGTTCGCGACGGGCTGACTATTCAGCTGCATCGTCAGTCCGTGTTGAGTAGCAAGAGTCGAATGCGCCCAACGTGGATCATGTACGACCGGCTGGAGGTGCACGGCGAGGACGGCATGTTTGTGCGCGTGGCATCCCCGGTCGAGCCCGAGTGGCTTCTCCAGACGAGTGAGTTCTTTTTCTGCACTGCGGAAATCAGCAACGGCGAGGCGGCTTTGGTTCTGAAGAAGCTCGCGGCGCAGGAAGTGAGGACCAAAGCGGTCTGACGAACCGTGAGGAGGAGCGCGGCAAGGGAGAGCATCTTACTTAGTGTACAGTGAAATAACAGCACAAACTAAAGCGATATAAAATACGTTTCTGGTTGAAATTTTCCTTTTCAAAAGAAACGAAATAAACAGCCATGTGTACTCATCAAAATGGGGCGGGGTAATGACATAAAATAACTTTATTACATTCTACATCGTGTGCTTCATGCTTTCTTCTGCGTTTCAGTCGTGTCGTGAGACTTGTTTTCCTTCCTTCTCTTTTCGTACATGGGAGAGGATGATATATCCAAATCTCGAACGAAAGCCTTTTCCACCTCATTTCGTAGTCCTATTCTCAAAGTTTCAGTTTATTTTTATTGAAAGGAATTTAATTGTATGGAGAGCCATACCATACAAGCCCACGGGGATGTCCAGATCGAGTTGGTAGATTCCAATGGCCGCCCCCTTTATCCCCACCCGATCCGAGTAGAGGACCTCTTAGGGCAAAAGGACCATTCCCTCCCCATCGGAAATGACATCAAGATTTGCATAGAAGAATCATCCGAGAACCCGAACAAAAATCCTCGGCAGGGTTCCGGCGTCATGGAAGGCGATGCGAACGCGGGATCGCACCCCAAGGATCACCCCCATGCCGCCTCCCCTCTTGGGGTTCGAGCCGCCGAACGTTGGGGGGATGTCCTCGAGAACCTTCACGCGGCGCACGCGGGATCCGCCGCGCGTCGTGAGCGGCCGGGCCGAACCCGCACCCCCACGCCCCGCTCGCGTGCCTTCAGGGGGGTCGGGCGAGCGTCCTCGATCCCGCGCTCGGCCCCGCGACGTTGCTTGGATTGGGGGGCCAGCG